TATTATTATTATTATTATTATTATTATTATTATTATTATATTGGTACAGTAAAACGAGCAATATGAGTTGATTTGGTCTGTCCGAAATCCCGCTTTCGTCATTTGCCCAAAAGGATGCTTTGATAGCATTGCATGCATTCATGCAAGCAATAGGGTATAGACAAAGATACAGACGTACATGCAGGCGGATATGCAGTCAAGCATATAGACATTCATGGGAATTGAAGTTGAGGAGGATGAACATACAAATATGCGGTCAAACAAAGAGACAGACAGAGCAGGATTGGACCACAGACGTGCAAGACCAAAAGAAGAATAGCTAAAGAGAGGCAGACACTTTAAGAGAGCTACAAATTGAGAAAGTGACAGATGCAGAGAAATTCATACACACGGACAGGTCGGGGCCCAGTCGTCGATATCAAAAGGAGTGGAGTGCACGTACAGGTGGTTTGGGTCAAAGAGTCCTGTTGTCACGACTCACAAGAGGGTAGTGGTTTATTGCTATTGAATTTCCCGGCACATAAACTTATGAGGGTCCAGGCAAAAATCAGACAATGGTAAAATGATGTCACCATAGCGTTCTCCCCTGAAATCATGTGGTAAACTCATGTCGCGCCTCTCCGGAAGGTAGGCACACACGAGAAGAGGTGTTCTCGCACTATCCTGGCTCATAACCGCCGTTATCAGCTTCATACTTTCGTCACCTTTCACGCTGCCACCCCTTACCTCGTCTCTTTTTTATTCGCTCTCTCCTCAGCATTCCAATCTCGCTTCTACCACGACCCCTCTACCGAATCTCGTTCACATGCACGCCAAACATGCCGGTTGTGAAGCCAAATTGGGGACCAATTCCGACTCGTGATATCTCAATAAAATGTTCACAAATGTCGGATGAGGGGTTGTGCAGCGGCGCTTCACAAATGACAGCCTCAGAGTCCGGTTATTGCATGCTTAAGCGCTCCATTGCAGCACGCCAATAGGTGCCAAAATGTGAAGAAAGTGACGAGGGCAACGGGTCACTTGGTACAGCCAGGTTGGAGGTATGAAACAAGGAAACAGAAAAATGCGAGGGGAGCCCAAATTCAAGTACCTTGGGCACGGGTGTTCAGTTTGATCTCAAGCCGGCTATCTACTTCGATGTGTCAAGTTAATCTAACAGACTACCGGGTCAACAAACTCACGCAAAAGTCATGGCATAGCAACTCAGGTGCAATACGAAATGGCAAAATCGTCTGCTGCTGAAGACGAAGCGAGTGACCCCGAGACTGGTTTAGACTTTGGGACCAATAAAATATTTCCCATTTTCTTCGCGCACGGCTTTTTT